ACAGGATGTAGGTAAAATGTACTTACAGCATGTCAGTGAAATGTACTTACAACATGACAGTGACATGTACTTACAGTATGTCAGTGAGATGGTCTTACAGCATGTCAATGAAATGTACTTACAGTATGTCAGTGACATGTACTTACAGTATGTCAGTAACATGTACTTACAGCATGTCGGTGAAATGTTCTTACAGGATGTCAATGAAATGTACTTACAGCATGTCAGTGAAGTGTTCTTACAGCATGTCAGTGATATGTACTTACAGCATGTCAGTGAAATGTACTTACAACATGTCAGTGAAATGTACTTACAGCATGTCAGTGAAATGTACTTACAGAATGTCAGTGAAATGTACTTACAACATGACAGTGACATGTACTTACAGTATGTCAATGAGATGTTCTTACAGCATGTCAATGAAATGTACTTACAGCATGTCAGTGAAATGTACTTACAGCATGTCAGTGAAATGTACTTACAGTACGTCAGTGAAATGTTTTTACAGTATGTCTGGGAAATGTTCTTACAGCATGTGAGTGAAATGTTCTTACAGTATGTCAGTGAAATGTACTTACAACATGACAGTGACATGTACTTACAGTATGTTAGTGAGATGTTCTTACAGCGTGCCAATGAAATGTACTTACAGCATGTCAGTGAAATGTACTTACAGCATGTCGGTGACATGTACTTACAGCATGTCAGTGACATGTACTTACAGCATGTCAGTGAAACGTTCTTACAGTATGCCAGTGACATGTACTTACAGCATGTCAGTGAAATGTACTTACAGCATGTCGGTGAAATGTACTGACAGCATGTCAGTGAAATGTACTTACAGCATGTCAGTGAAATGTACTTACAGTATGTCAGTGAAATGTTCTTACAGTATGTCAGTGAAATGTTCTTACAGAATGTCCGTGAAATGTACTTACAGCATGTCAGTGAAATGTACTTACAGCATGTCGGTGAGATGTACTTACATCATGTCAGTGAAATGTACTTACAGCATGTCAGTGAAATGTACTTACAGCATGTCAGTGAAATGTACTTACAGCATGTCAGTGAAATGTACTTACAGCATGTCGGTGAGATGTACTTACAGCATGTCAGTGAAATGTACTTACAGGATGTAAGTGAAATGTACTTACAGCATGTCAGTGAAATGTACTTACAGGATGTCAGTGAAATGTTCTTACAGCATGTCAGTGAAATGTACTTACAGCATGTCAGTGAAATGTACTTACAGCATGTCAGTGAAATGTTTTTACAGTATGTCAGTGAGATGTACTTAGAGCATGTCAGTGAAATGTACTTACAGCATGTCAGTGAAATGTTTTTACAGTATGTCAGTGAAATGTACTTACAGCATGTCAGTGAAATGTACTTACAGCATGTCAGTGAGATGTTCTTACAGCATGTCAGTGAAATGTACTTACAGCATGTCAGTGATATGTACTTACAACATGTCAGTGAAATGTACTTACAGCATGTCAGTGAAATGTTCTTACAGCATGTCAGTGAAATGTACTTACAGTATGTCAATGAAATGTACTTACAGCATGTCAGTGAAATGTTCTTACAACATGTCAGTGAAAAGTTCTTACAACATGTCAGTGAAATGTACTTACTGAATTTTATGAAATGTACTTACAGCATGTCAATGAAATGTACTTACAGCATGTCAGTGAAATGTACTTACAACATGTCAGTGAAATGTACTTACAGCATGTCAGTGAAATGTACTTACAGCATGTCAGTGAAATGTACTTACAGCATGTCAGTGAAATGTTCTTACAGAATGTCAGTGAAATGTACTTACAGTATGTCAGTGACATGTACTTACAGCATGTCAGTGAAATGTTCTTACAACATGTCAGTGAAATGTACTTACAGCATTTTATGAAATGTACTTACAGCATGTCAAAGAAATGTACTTACAGCATGTCAGTGAAATGTTCTTACAGAATGTCAGTGAAATGTACTTACAGTATGTCAGTGACATGTACTTACAGTATGTCAGTAACATGTACTTACAGCATGTCGGTGAAATGTTCTTACAGGATGTCAATGAAATGTACTTACAGGATGTAGGTAAAATGTACTTACAGCATGTCAGTGAAATGTACTTACAACATGACAGTGACATGTACTTACAGTATGTCAGTGAGATGGTCTTACAGCATGTCAATGAAATGTACTTACAGCATCTCAGTGAAATGTACTTACAGCATGTCAATGAAATGTACTTACAGTACGTCAGTGAAATGTTTTTACAGTATGTCTGTGAAATGTTCTTACAGCATGTCAGTGAAATGTACTTACAGCATGTCAGTGAAATGTTCTTACAGCATGTCAGTGAAATGTACTTACAGCATGTCAGTGACATGTACTTACAGTATGTCAATGAAATCTTCTTACAGCATGTCAGTGAAATGTACTTACAGCATGTCAGTGAAATGTTCTTACAGCATGTCAGTGAAATGTACTTACAGTATGTCAATGAAATGTACTTACAGCATGTTGACCAGTGATATGTTCTTACAGCATGTCAGTGAGACAGATGTACAGCATATCAGTGACATGCACTCGGTGCTAGCGGCTCCATGCGGATGAGTGATCTCTTCAGCGAACATGAATCTATACCAACGTTCAAAATGAAATCTCACACTTAAAATGCCTGTGCGATATCGCCGGGAAGTAAACAACGTTTAAAGATACGCAGCATAGTTTTAACCATTATCACTTGTCTTTTCTGAGCGTCCTTTCCTTTCTGTCTGCACCAAGGCTGAGGTTTGTTAAATTGCTTTCCTAACGGTGCATGTTATAAGTGACATTACCACCACGAGTGATGAGTCGTTATAGTTGTGTAATCGGTGAATAAAGCAGGGCAGCAGCGGGATGAAGCTGAGATAACCATGTGATACATGACGACATGCAATACATCTATCACATCACTCTGTCACTTCTTATTCAAGATTCCTCAAGCCTACAATTCAAGCACGTGGTAAAAACATACGCACAGTGTTATCACCCTCTGTATTGCATGTGTACGGTAACGACAAGTATTTTTGTTTATTTGTAATCATCCAAATCAGCCGGTCAAGAGAGAAATAGGATTTAAAAATAATTTTGGAGACAAAGTTACATTGATTGCATCATAGGTATGTAGAGATATATAATCACAGGAAGTGATGACGCGAGGAAGATAACTGCACCAAAGTGGCAAGTTAGTGCACCGGTGAGATTGCAACATTTACGGGGGAGGAACTTTCCACAAGAACTCTCGGTATGAGTCCGGAAATGAATGTAATTAACTTCAGCCATTTAATCTTGGAATCTGAATTAGGACTGAATATATTTATTGTTTAGTGTCAGTATCAGTTCCAACACGCTATTGTTTAGAGATGACCGTGGTGAAACTGGAATACCACAGACTGTAGACTTAAAACAACATTCGCGCACTCAAATAACAAATGGTATAAGATGTAGCACCCATTAATAGTTTAACCCCCCCGCACATACATTGTTTAAACAGACAGAAGTCCAAACCTACTCACGACTTTGGTCTTATTTGGTAACTTTCTGTTGAGCTTTTGAGATAGTTTTATGAAATGAATGTGAACATTTCTCCGTTTGTTTTCAACATTGCACGTCACCGCGACAGTCTCTTCGTACTTCGCAAAGACGTAACCGTCGGGGCAGGGGGAATAGGCTATACTTGTGCAAGCCCCTCTAACGTTAAAACGCATATACCGCGATGTCTTTTTTATGCCGCAGCGATAACGATAAACAGACACCGTGTTTGAAAAATATACTTTTAATTGCATCATTAACATTGGCACTCGAAAAACTTGAACCTCTCTACGTTTTCCTGCCTGTGTCGACCGAACAAGTCTGTCTTGTAGACCAGCTTCAATTAAACGGTGTCATACGCGAGCTGGATGCCCGTGTCGCTATTTCAAGTATGTATTGGAAAGAAGACAGGGAAAGGGTGTAATAAGTAGCTGGGACCTTGTCCTATCCTGTTATCATCTCATCAATCTGAGAGAGCGAGAGAGAGAGGGATGAGAGAGGGGGAGAGAGACATGGAGAGACAGAGAGACAATATAATCACAGAGACGAGAGAGGGAGGGAGAAACCAGAGAGAGAGAGAGAGAGAGAGAGAGACACACACAGACACACACACACACACACACACACACACACACACACACACATTCTGAATAAATATATATTTGTGAAAATTTGTTATATAAACGGGACACTTTGTGGAGCCGGACGATGAGGTTTCGTTGAATCCCATGTTGGCCTCTCAACACTTTTCAGTGGATGCTACTCTCCTGTTAGTTTCTATCGTCCACCTCTGTTGAGGTACACCGACATACTGTTCCTATAGACTGCACAGAGAGGGTCGTCAGGCTTGTTTGGAAACGTGTCGTCCAATGAATCAATACTAGTGAATTTTGTTGAAAGCAATAACCTTTCTCACCTAAACGTATGTACTTACTCAGTGTCAGATGGTTTTTCTCGGAGATGTACGTGTTTTTGCGAAAGGGTGAGCGCTCTTGAAAAAACTCACACAAAAAACACACACTCACGCACACACCCAAACCCTTAAAAAATAAACGTCTCTAATGTTAAAATCAAAGTTTAATTGAAAATATCCAATAGGATTTGATGAGCATCATAAATACGATGTTTCCATGTTAAATGGGAAAATACTGTATTCTTTAAATACCCGTATTCTAGTTCCAGAACGCATGCAGTGTTATCTTTTACCGAATGTTGCCCACGGCAGAGTAATTATCTTTTTAAGTAAAATGGAGGCGTTTTAAACTTATCTGTTTCAAGCAGCAGACAAACGTTGAGCATAGTCCGTGATTAAATCTGTGGGGAAAGCGCGTGTGCTGCAGTCTGTCGGTTGCAACCTGTGTCACTTAGCGACACCGTCAGATGTATTAGTGCAAGATAATTGAAGACTAGTTGACCCACCATAGGAGATACTGACTTTATTCTCGGGGAATACAGGCTGAGGTCTACTTGATTCAACAGACTGACGGTCTACTTGAGTCAACGCTAATTCACAGAGTGGGTGAGAAATGACAATAGGTTAGTTAAATTAAAATATACACTTTCACAGGCCTACGGCCTAATCTACAAAAATATGAATGTACACTGTAAAATATTCAATAATTCAGCTCTTACCAACATTTACAGACACTATGCAAACGATCTCTGGTAGATTTACACAAAATTCTTTCGATATCGTAAATCTTTACAGAAAAGGGAAAAAGGCAGAATATATTGTCTGGAAGTCTAATATTCTACATGATGAAACTTACTTATGTCGAGCCGTTGTTGAGACTAATATGACAGATGCTACACCTTACTGGGAACATGTACATTGTCGGAAGACTTCGCCATTCTTCATTTGGAACACTTCGATCGTTTCCGTTAACTTAACGGAAATGGCCGAAAATCAATAATTTTGGTATATAACTATATATGCAATTAAGGTACAGCACTTTAACATACCGAACTAACATGAAGATGACGCCTTCTGACACGAGGGGGGCAGGTGCCATCTAAAGGATAATATCATATCGTAAACAGTTTCCGATGAGGTTTGTGATGATTGAACACCTTGAAATGAAACAGTCTTACATGTTGTAAATGAAAGTATCTTAACATCATCAATGAACGTTCATTATTACAATTCCTGATAAAGGGGTTTATATTCATATTGACATTTCCACAGGGGAATGTGCAGGCAGATACTCATTTATATAAATGGGTCATTGACTTTGTGAGAAAATGTGATGCGTTTCCGGCGGTATTCCATGGGCTATCTACACAGGGGAGATAATTCGTATGAGTCATATTTATACTGACATAAATAGTTCAGGTTGACCTCCAATTTTCATTTTACTTGCATGATAAAATAACATTTCATCTCTTGACGCGTGAATAAATTATCAGCTGGCAATGTATGACATTTCAACACGTCAAATGTCAAAACATGACAGCAATGGACAATGAATTTAATGTGGCAGTTTCATGATCTAGAACATGAACAAGTCTAAAAGAACAATGACAAATTATGCAATCACATCTACCAGATCTATAGGTCAACATGATATATATAAAGATATATATATATATTATTAATATTTAAACATATCCACAAAATATAGTCCTCAAATACGCAATGTACATAGGCGATAGAAATGTAGGCAAGCGATTCAGCGCAATCGAATGCCTCGCAGCGAGCTCCACGGTCCAGTCAAATCAACAGAAATATACAATCACGTGACTATTGGCTCGCTAATTCATAAATTTAATTTCACAACACCATCAAAAGTGCTCATGATCCTCCTCCGCGTTTAGAGGTAAAGTGGTTGAGAAACCATGTCTTCAGTTACTACGCTTTTCGCTCAAGTCACCTGGTATATTGTCTCTCAATACATTGTATAGACAATCTAGAACAAGGGTGGTAACTCTCAAATGTCCGGTTACCTTGATAGCCTTTGTGTGCTTCCAGAATACCTTATCGCTGACGTCATAATACATGTCCACGTCATGTTGTATGTGACAATGACGTCACTGCTACAGACCACAGATATGTAGAAACACCATAGCATGGTTCAGACTTGGTTTCCCGTGTTGAGTCAGTTCAAAGTGTGATCAGTTCCTGTCAATCGATGTCCTCAGTGACACGGATCAGCTATTGAATCGTTGATCTGTTTGAATGAATCTTGTGATGAGGAAACCAACAAGCTATCTACACGAGTCCATCTCCACTACTGTCTCAGCTATACCCACAATGCAGCATTGTTGCGGTCAGATCCGATTCTCATCATATCTACCTACACAGAAATGACGTCATTTCCGTTTTGAAACATAATATCATATTCCCTGTGTATTTCAGTCGATTGAGATAAACAAATATCACATCCTATTCATCGTTGTATTGTAATCTCTTGATCTTTATTCGGGTGTTTGTTTAATACGAGGTATATTCAATTCGGCACTATTTCCGACTTCACTTCCGGCACTTTCCGCGACGCTCGTGTTTAGCAAATCTTCTCAACCTCTTCTGCCATTTGTCCTTCCAGCGGATCACGATGCTTTTGCGATCTACAACGTAGCCGGTGCGGTTGTCGTCCCTCCTCAACTTCCCCACAATCAAGTAACGACGACTCAAGCGGATCTTTGGACATTTGCATTTGAGATCGTCCTTTGGGACCCACAAGTAGGTTTCTCCACGGCGAGTTCTCTCCCCTTGGCTTCGCTTGTAGAAGCTGACGACGTTGATGGTAAATTTGACCCAATCATCGACCTTTTCACGTGACAGAACCTGTGCCTGGATTGCTAAAACATAAAAACCCATGTATAAGTAAATTGGCTCTGCACGGTCATTCAATATGTATTGTTTGCTACGAAACCAAAATCATTTTAAGGTTCTAGATGTAGCGCAATGGACGACTGGGCCACGCGTCCCCCTTGATCAGCAAGAAACAAGAGACTCAATTACACATTGTGATTTGTAGGAGAAACTTCAAGTCTATTCAGATGTCCATGTAACTATTCCAACCAAACTGTGAGTACCGCTACACACAAGGCATTGGGCAAAATTGCTACACGGTGACACTCAAATAAAATGGTTGCTGAGGTTATCTTGAAGCCCAATACCCATTCTGCATGACAAAACAGCATTCCATTCCCTATTATCTTATATCCCCTATAATTAGTCGTAGCTGAGTACACATGTGTCCCGCAAACGCCCAGTATGTCTGTTTTATGTTATAATTCTTGTAACCTATTGTCAATAAACAATCAATCTTGTACAACATGATAACAATGTTTGGGAATCCTGGTCTGGTTACAAACATGTTTCCATCTTGCTTCCTCCCTGAATGTCTAAAAGGGCGGTGGAAACAGGCCTAACCTTCTGGTAGGGAAACCTCAACAGTATTTGTGTCTCCCCCACGCGGAATTCTCATGTGCACGTGGTTAAGACCCGGAATTATTTTGCCTCTTCTGTTTCGCTTTCATAAGGTACACTTATTACCACTCTCAAGATTTAGAACCACTTCATTGGATGCAGGTTCTGAGAGCTGTGGCAGGATTGTGTCTGGTATGAATAACTGCAGCGCGTAATGAAGGGTGAAAGGCTGCCGGGATTAGGTGTTTGGGGGAGGGGTGGAAGTGTGGGGGAGAGGTCTAGCTGTGGGTGTGGGTGGTGGTGAGGAGGACACGAAGGAGGTGAAGGAGGTTCGACTCAGTTGTTCCGTGAGCGAGTGTCCTTGGATGTTATGCTGGATGCTCGTCTTTAGCCTTTACTTGTAGATGAATGCATCAAGGGACGTGTAAAGTGAGTGTAGAGTGTGCTGGGTACGAACGAGGGCCTGGGTGCGAACGTGGGGGATGGGTTGGTGGGTGGGTTTAATGGTTTACATGGGGAGGGTTGGGGGAAGTCAGTGGACGCAAGTCACAGGATGTCAAAACATTTTGGAACACGGTGCAGAATATAGTGCTCTTGAACCAGTGTGACAGCAAGGGGTTTGAGTTGCGTTTAGGAACCGTCATGGTAGGGGTAAAGGTGTTGATCGATAAAGTGTTACCGATGAAGGACTGAAGAATATAGTCCAGATTTGATCTGAGGTAATTATGCACTGAAATCCCCATCTAAGCCAGACAGAAGGAACAGGATCACGTCAGCGTAACAGCAGCAGTATTGGGCGCAACTTCCTCTCAGAGCCAAAGAGCACCATATCAGAAAGGTCTGAAAACAATGTTGTGAATGCCTGGCACAGTTCTCCCGCATATACAGATCCAGCATTACAAGCATGGATCCATGTATCAGAATGCCGAAGAATCGACTAATCGTGTCTTGTAGGACACGGCTGGCACTGGGTCACATGAATTCGGTTGTAGCAAGTCAACAACTGGAGCTGAATTGTTACATAGCAGGCAGGGCAGATACACGCTATTGTTGTGACGTTCGTGCGTTGTATCAAAATAACAGAAGATCATGAACTTGCAGTGAGTCATTGGACAATAATCAAGGTATGCTGGTGCTGCTGGAGAAGTCAAGCACCCCGGACTCCAGGTCGCTACAACATAATACAACTGGTACTGCCATCAACGGCGATGTTGCACAGAGCATGACACATGAGCACGTTCAAGGCATCATCGCTTAGTGTGTCTCTCGACTGTGTCACATCGTATGTAATCTGTACCTTGTTGACCTATAGTATTCAGTTTACATCAAGGATACATTCTTTGGTTTTGCTACATCATCGACGGCTCAGTGAACCATAAAGCCATACCTTTCTTAACAAGTTCGGCATAGGTGGAGCTATATGTTACTCTGTAATTACCAATTTGCAGTCCAGATAGTCAGCACACTCCGATACCTACAGGTAGATAGCCAACACACTCCGATACCTACAGGTAGAAAGCCAACACACTCTGATACCTACAGGTAGATAGTCAACTCAGTCTGATACCTACAGGTAGATAGTCAGCACACTCCGATACCTACAGGTAGATAGCCAACACACTCCGATACCTACAGGTAGATAGCCAACACACTCTGATACCTACAGGTAGATAGTCAACTCAGTCTGATACCTACAGGTAGATAGCCAACACACTCCGATACCTACAGGTAGAAAGCCAACACACTCTGATACCTACAGGTAGATAGTCAACTCAGTCTGATACCTACAGGTAGATAGTCAGCACACTCCGATACCTACAGGTAGAAAGCCAACACACTCCGATACCTACAAGTAGATAGTCAACACAGTCTGATACTTACAGGTTGATAGTCAACACAGTTTGATACCTACAGGTAGATAGTCAATACAATCTGATACCTACAGGTAGATAGCCAACACACTCTGATACCTACAGGTAGATAGTCAACTCAGTCTGATACCTACAGGTAGATAGTCAACACACTCTGATACCTACAGGTAGATATCCAACACACTCTGATACCTACAGGTTGATAGTAAACACAATCTGATACCTACAGGTAGATAGCCAACACACTCTGATACCTACAGGTAGATAGTCAACACGCTCTGATACCTACAGGTAGATATCCAACACACTCCGATACCTACAGCTACATATCCAAAACACTCTGATATCTACAGGTAGATAGCCAACACACTGCGATACCTACAGGTAGGTAGTCAACACAGTCTGATACCTACAGCTAGATAGTCAACACACTGCGATACCTACAGCTAGATAGGCAACACACTGCGATACCTACAGGTAGATAGTCAACACAGTCTGATACCTACCGGTAGATAGTCAACACACTCTGATACCTACAGGTAGATAGTCAACATACTCTGATACCTACCGGTAGATAGTCAACACACTGCGATACCTACAGGTAGATAGTCAGCACACTCTGATACCTACAGGTAGGTAGTCAACACACTCTGATACCTACAGGTAGACAGTCAGCACAGTCTGATACCTTCAGGTAGAGAGCCAACACACTGCGATACCTACAGGTAGGTAGTCAACACAGTCTGATACCTACAGCTAGATAGTCAACACACTGCGATACCTACAGCTAGATAGGCAACACACTGCGATACCTACAGGTAGATAGTCAACACAGTCTGATACCTACCGGTAGATAGTCAACACACTCTGATACCTACAGGTAGATAGTCAACATACTCTGATACCTACCGGTAGATAGTCAACACACTGCGATACCTACAGGTAGATAGTCAACACATTCTGATACCTACAGGTAGATAGTCAACACACTCCGATACCTACAGGTAGATAGTCAGCACACTCTGATACCTACAGGTAGGTAGTCAACACACTCTGATACCTACAGGTAGACAGTCAGCACAGTCTGATACCTTCAGGTAGAGAGCCAACACACTCTGATACCTACAGGTAGATATACAACACACTCCGATACCTACAGGTAGATAGTCAACACACTCCGATACCTACAGCTAGATAGCCAACACACTCTGATACCTACAGGTAGATAGTCAACATACTCTGATACCTACAGGTAGATAGTCAACACACTGCGATACCTACAGGTAGATAGTCAACACATTCTGATACCTACAGGTAGATAGTCAACACACTCCGATACCTACAGGTAGATAGTCAGCACACTCTGATACCTACAGGTAGGTAGTCAACACACTCTGATACCTACAGGTAGACAGTCAGCACAGTCTGATACCTTCAGGTAGAGAGCCAACACACTCTGATACCTACAGGTAGATATACAACACACTCCGATACCTACAGGTAGATAGTCAACACACTCCGATACCTACAGGTAGATAGTCAACACACTCCGATACCTACAGGTAGATAGTCAACACACTCCGATACCTACAGCTAGATAGCCAACACAGTCTGATACCTACAGCTAGATAGTCAGCACACTCCGATACCTACAGGTAGATAGTCAGCACACTCAGATACCTACCGGTAGATAGTCAACACACTCTGATACCTACAGGTAGATAGTCAGCACACTCCGATACCTACAGGTAGATAGTCAGCACACTCCGATACCTACAGGTAGATAGCCAACATACTCTGATACCTACAGGTAGATAGTCAACACACTCCGATACCTACAGGTAGATAGTCAGCACACTCTGATACCTACAGGTAGATAGTCAACACACTCTGATACCTACAGGTAGACAGTCAGCACTGTCTGATACCTTCAGGTAGAGAGCCAACACACTCTGATACCTACAGGTAGATATACAACACACTCCGATACCTACAGGTAGATAGTCAACACACTCCGATACCTACAGGTAGATAGATAGTCAACACACTCCGATACCTACAGGTAGATAGTCAACACACTCCGATACCTACAGCTAGATAGCCAACACAGTCTGATACCTACAGCTAGATAGTCAGCACACTCCGATACCTACAGGTAGATAGTCAGCACACTCAGATACCTACCGGTAGATAGTCAACACACTCTGATACCTACAGGTAGATAGTCAGCACACTCCGATACCTACAGGTAGATAGTCAGCACACTCCGATCCCTACAGGTAGATAGCCAACATACTCTGATACCTACAGGTAGATAGTCAGCACAGTCTGATACCTTCAGGTAGAGAGCCAACACACTCTGATACCTACAGGTAGATATACAACACACTCCGATACCTACAGGTAGATAGTCAACACACTCCGATACCTACAGGTAGATAGTCAACACACTCCGATACCTACAGGTAGATATCCAACATACTCTGATACCTACAGGTAGATAGTCAACACACTCCGATACCTACAGCTAGATAGCCAACACAGTCTGATACCTACAGCTAGATAGTCAACACACTCCGATACCTACAGGTAGATAGTCAACACACTCCGATACCTACAGGTAGATATCCAACATACTCTGATACCTACAGGTAGATAGTCAACACACTCCGATACCTACAGCTAGATAGCCAACACAGTCTGATACCTACAGCTAGATAGTCAGCACACTCCGATACCTACAGGTAGATAGTCAGCACACTCCGATACCTACAGGTAGATATACAACACACTCCGATACCTACAGGTAGATAGTCAACACACTCCGATACCTACAGGTAGATAGTCAACACACTCCGATACCTACAGGTAGATAGTCAACACACTCCGATACCTACAGCTAGATAGCCAACACAGTCTGATACCTACAGCTAGATAGTCAGCACACTCCGATACCTACAGGTAGATAGTCAGCACACTCAGATACCTACCGGTAGATAGTCAACACACTCTGATACCTACAGGTAGATAGTCAGCACACTCCGATACCTACAGGTAGATAGTCAGCACACTCCGATACCTACAGGTAGATAGCCAACATACTCTGATACCTACAGGTAGATAGTCAACACACTCCGATACCTACAGGTAGATAGTCAGCACACTCTGATACCTACAGGTAGGTAGTCAACACACTCTGATACCTACAGGTAGACAGTCAGCACAGTCTGATACCTTCAGGTAGAGAGCCAACACACTCTGATACCTACAGGTAGATATACAACACACTCCGATACCTACAGGTAGATAGTCAACACACTCCGATACCTACAGGTAGATAGATAGTCAACACACTCCGATACCTACAGGTAGATAGTCAACACACTCCGATACCTACAGCTAGATAGCCAACACAGTCTGATACCTACAGCTAGATAGTCAGCACACTCCGATACCTACAGGTAGATAGTCAGCACACTCAGATACCTACCGGTAGATAGTCAACACACTCTGATACCTACAGGTAGATAGTCAGCACACTCCGATACCTACAGGTAGATAGCCAACATACTCTGATACCTACAGGTAGATAGTCAGCACAGTCTGATACCTTCAGGTAGAGAGCCAACACACTCTGATACCTACAGGTAGATATACAACACACTCCGATACCTTCAGGTAGATAGTGAACACACTCCGATACCTACAGGTAGATAGTCAACACACTCCGATACCTACAGGTAGATATCCAACATACTCTGATACCTACAGGTAGATAGTCAACACACTCCGATACCTACAGCTAGATAGCCAACACAGTCTGATACCTACAGCTAGATAGTCAACACACTCCGATACCTACAGGTAGATAGTCAACACACTCCGATACCTACAGGTAGATATCCAACATACTCTGATACCTACAGGTAGATAGTCAACACACTCCGATACCTACAGCTAGATAGCCAACACAGTCTGATACCTACAGCTAGATAGTCAGCACACTCCGATACCTACAGGTAGATAGTCAGCACACTCCGATACCTACCGGTAGATAGTCAACACACTCTGATACCTACAGGTAGATATACAACACACTCCGATACCTTCAGGTAGATAGTCAACACACTCCGATACCTACAGGTAGATAGTCAACACACTCCGATACCTACAGGTAGATATCCAACATACTCTGATACCTACAGGTAGATAGTCAACACACTCCGATACCTACAGCTAGATAGCCAACACAGTCTGATACCTACAGCTAGATAGTCAACACACTCCGATACCTACAGGTAGATAGTCAACACACTCCGATACCTACAGGTAGATATCCAACATACTCTGATACCTACAGGTAGATAGTCAACACACTCCGATACCTACAGCTAGATAGCCAACACAGTCTGATACCTACAGCTAGATAGTCAGCACACTCCGATACCTACAGGTAGATAGTCAGCACACTCCGATACCTACCGGTAGATAGTCAACACACTCTGATACCTACCGGTAGATAGTCAGCACACTCCGATACCTACAGGTAGATAGTCAGCACACTCCGATACCTACAGGTAGATAGTCAGAACACTCTGATACCTACAGGTAGATAGTCAACACACTCTGATACCTACAGGTAGATAGCCAACACAGTCTGATACCTACAGGTAGATAGTCAGCACACTCCGATACCTACCGGTAGATAGTCAACACACTCTGATACCTACAGGTAGATAGTCAGCACACTCCGATACCTACAGGTAGATAGTCAGCACACTCCGATACCTACAGGTAGATAGTCAGCACACTCTGATACCTACAGGTAGATAGTCAGCACACTGCGATACCGCCAGTTGGACGGAGAGCCGGTCGAGGCACACTCCTGTATGCACTGGGTGATAACCCAGCGAGGCAGCTAATACGATCTGACAGTGACCATTGAAGTACAGCCTGACAATTTTGTTGAACAATTAACAACTTCAACATCGCTTCCCCACAAGCGGTAGGCGAGAAGAAACCTTGTTATGACAAGCCTAATCCTCGTTGGAACAGCCAGCTATTTATCCCGTCTTTGCCCGCTTTAGGTGATACGAAAGGCGTGAAAACACACAAACCGGAGGCAGACGCACAGACGTTGTCAGGTGAGATTAGGCCGCCATACGAGATATCAACAACTGTTTTGACTAATAGTGATATCAGAGATTGATGTAAGCGGCAAAGGATTATTCCTCTGTCTATGTGTTTCAAACCTTGACAGATTCAATTGGCGACGACATCTTGAAGGGGTGTTTGCTGAATACAGATACCAGGCAGAGCACACAGATCTTGTGGAGATTAAACAGTTTTTCCCGCCCATTTTTTATGTCGTCTGCTAACACCTACCTCCTGCACGCCCATAACTACTCCGGCAATGCTGAAATACGCCTTCAGTTGTGTAGTATCTACCGTGGCGATGATGAAATGGGATGATTAACATGAGAGGATGTTTGCTATGTATATAAATATAGACGGCAAAACCCTTTCGATTATCACAGGAAATATCTGCTAAGTCCACCGTACAATTCTGACTGTATCATGTGTTTCGGAATCTCTATCACATAGTTATCACCAGGTGTTCCGGCTGGGTTAACACATCCTGCCCAACCGGTGGGACCCGTCACAAACACATGCACATGCAAGTCACGTGTTCAGGTGAATAAACACAGAAACACGTGGTACAAGTCAAAGTAGAGGATTGCATTGGGCATAATTTTGGTTACTGATCTGTCAAATGTGTTCCATTTGTCTACCATAAAACGTTTTATTTACTACTCCAGAGTCGGTAGATCCGGGTTACAATTGATCCTCAGCAAAAAACGCTTGTAGCAACTAACAGGATCGGGTGGTCAGGCTTGCTGACTTGGTCAACACGTTCTCATGATGTCAATCACTGGACTATCTGGTCAATACTCGTTTATCTATAACCGCCGTCATGTTGCCAAGCGCGGCGTTAAACAAAAACTACTGTAGTTGCCATTGCCCAGTCACTATCACACCTCAAATAACTACCACCATTATGATCCAGCCGACTGTCTCCAACACGATGACCAACCCTACCGACCACCCATCAGAACCCCACTACCTCCACCAAGACTCCCCGACCCTACCGACCACCCAACAAAACCCCACCACCTCCACCAAGACTCCCCGACCACCCAACAGAACCCCACTACCTCCACCAAGACTCCCTGACCCTACCGACCACCCAACAGAACCCCACTACCTCCACCAAGACTCCCCGACCCTACCGACCACCCAACAGAACCCAACTACCTCCACCAAGACTCTCCACCCTACCGACCACCCAACAGAACCCCACTACCTCCACCAAGACTCCCCGACCCTACCGACCACCCAACAAAACCCCACCACCTCCACCAAGACTCCCCGACCCTACCGACCACCCAACAGAACCCCACTATCTCCACCAAGACTCCCCGACCCTACCGACCACCCAACAGAACCCCACTATCTCCACCAAGACTCCCCGACCCTACCGACCACCTAACAGAACCCCACTATCTCCACCAAGACTCCCCGACCCTACCGACCACCCAACAGAACCCCACTATCTCCACCAAGACTCCCCAACCCTACCGACCACCCAACAGAACCCCACTATCTCCACCAAGACTCCCCAACCCTACCGACCACCCAACAGAACCCCACTATCTCCACCAAGACTCCCCAACCCTACCGACCACCCAACAGAACCCCACTATCTCCACCAAGACTCCCCGACCCTACCGACCACCCAACAGAACCCCACTATCTCCACCAAGACTCCCCGACCCTACCGACCACCCAACAGAACCCCACTATCTCCACCAAGACTCCCCCGACCACCCAACAGAACCCCACTATCTCCACCAAGACTCCCCAACCCTTCCGACCACCCAACAGAACCCCACCACCTCCACCAAAGACTCCCCAACCCTTCCGACCACCCAACAGAACCCCACCATCTCCACCAAAGACTCCCCAACCCTACCGACCACCCAACAGAACCCCACACAGACTCCCTAATCAACCCATCCAACAAAATTCCACTCCACCCCAGTATTTCCAGAGCAAACACCATAACTGTGTGTTCGGGATGAGCGACCAAGGATCCTGGTTCGCTCCAGATGACGGGACAAATATGGGACGTAGATATAATCGCAACATAAATATCCAACTATCGATATATCACACTTGACATATCATATTCCAGGGATGTGAGAATGGATGATTTCCGTCAAAACAGATTTCCCGTCGTAGCTGAACACACATACACAAAAAGCCAGAGATAAGTCCGCACATTTGGGGATTTCCCAGTTTAAATTAGGATTTAATTCAAGTTAGAGTTATCTCCCATATCACGTGACAAAAATGGTTGCGTATTGTCCTACACACTTCAAAGTGATCAGCGCCAATAGGGGGTTATACTTCTGTGGGAGGTAAACGAACTCACCAAAGTCCCGACGGCAGAATTTTTTCATGTTGAGTCTTCGACTTCTTTTCTTGCATTTCCGGCATTCGGACGACTGTTTTACTGAAATGTAATAAAAGACAAAACTTTAAAAACCTATACAAAATACTTATTCAGGAACACTTAGTCCAAACAAAATATGAAAGCCATGTTGTTTAGGTCGGTACTGATTGAGAATTAAGGATTAGTAATTTCATATGAAAGACACAACATTATCTAGCACCCTGAGTTTGGCTATTTTAACACTGTGGATCATTGTATTCACAATAGTAATGCGAAAGCGCACAATATTATTTGGGAAGTGCATCAATGTTATTTCGAGGTTTAAAAGGGAAACCAAAGTGTGTTCTGTTCATGTTACAGGCACCACAGCTTCATCTTAGCATTCAGACAAGATTTAATTACCATTTCAATTATTACAGCATTTACATGAGATATATATTGTAGCATTGGCATGACGAAGTTGTTCTTCGTGATGTATTCATACAACTGACTTTTCTCCTTATGAATTATGTAATATATAATGACTTTCTTTGATGACTACCATTTGTGGTGACTGTGGTGACCATACATTTTCATAAGATATGTTAATGTTAATGTATGTAAATGTTTTTTTCGGGTAGGTAAGGTATCAGGTAAATGTTTATTTCGTTGCAGCTAGGGATATATCAAACATGAAGTATTAATGATTAAGTTTGGGTTCTAACAGTAGAACGGGTGGACAACGGACGAAACCCTACAACCTACTCACACTGAAGACGTCAAACTGAATTAAATCTGCTTCCGTACCATAGAGTGCAAGACAAACCATATGGTTTACGTCTCTTGGGTTGCAAACAACTAGAATGCGTCATAATTATCCCTAAATCGGTCTTCTAATTTAAAATTCAAAGAAAATGGTTTACAGAAGCCGTAACGTCAAGACGGAATCAAGTGCGCCCCCGGGTGACTACAGGCAGAGGCATTACCTAAGTCAACCCAAACGGGCTGTGTATTGACGTTGTCGGATGTTTTAAACAAAGACTGTAGCTTCCCTCACGGTGCTGCAATCGCACTCTGAGCATGATACGATCACAGACAAAGCGAAATATTCCTCAAGTGTTAATTCAACTTCAAAACTTTCAAATCACTGCCTACTGTGAACTTGAGCGTTAAAAACTTTGCGCATAACACGCATAGTTTGCTGGTACACGGGCTTTTGTTCAGCGACCGTGTACACTGCGCATGCCTGTTAATTGTATTTCTCGCGCTGTGTCTGAACCAGGTGCTACCAGAGTGATCTTTTGATCTCCTCCGCACGTGATATAACCAGCGTTCGTGCGGACCCCCAATCCACCTCGGATTAGCCTTTCTGTAACTAGCCAAGGGTTACGCTCATGTACAGTGTAGAAACAGTTCTTTCCCCATGATCCCATTGGTGGAGGTGGTCGCACTGGGACAACCCACAAGTTGAAATTTCAAAATATTTGAAATCGTATTTGTGATTGAATTACTGGTAAGGCAATGTATCTTTAGCATTAACACATGGTGTTATTTGGACGACGTGTGTACTGTTTGAGTGTGAGACGTACCCTGACATGCCTCCCCACGTTCAGCGGTCAGGCCGTCACTTGTCTGTAAACTAACGTGTGTTCCGTACCAGTAGAAGGATATTACCCAGCTGCGTGCGTGCGAGTCGAACATACCGTTCGTAGAGTCGAACGTTTGTGTTTAGTAATAACGGTATAGTTCAGATAATTTAATGATGTTCTTAACACTAGGTCTTCAGTAATTCTACGTTAAACTTACCATAAGCGTTAAAGTCAGATTTAGGGGTGGAACTGTTAAGTATGGAATTTACGAGGAACGTAATTTCTATGCCCTTCCAAGATTGTTCAATAGCCTACTTATCTAATACGTCTGGGTAATTTACATACACAAGCCTCATTCGCTTAAGCCGAACTTCGAATAACATTCTATTGAACAGGTAACAGATGCAGGGGGATACCCACTACACATGCATGTTCGTCCTCTGTAGCAACCCACGCACGTATGTTATCTACGATCTATGCCTTCTCGCACCTAGTACAGAAACCCGCTTCACCTTCTCTGATAAATGGCCTGTACGACCACATCCCGCCAACATAGTCGCCGTCTCCACGTTGCCAACGGTAGATCCCGCCGGGTGGGTTCAACCACGGGCAAATAATCCAAGTTGTCTCCTTTACATTAATCAGAACAGAGTTAAATGTGTTCTGTCAGTGTGGGGAGACTGAAGTACTGGAACATCCCAGTCTGACAACCGATGCATGGAATCTCCTTAACGCCTATCGCCGGAAATGGATTTCCTTTCAAAACCACCGGCATCGTCAAAGTACCGATCGGATTTAGTGTGGTGGGTTTGGGAACCTACAAGAAGTCCCCAGCATCGCGATACCATCACATTTCACGCGTGCAGCCACCCCCAAAACGCCATGAACGATTTCAATCTGTAAAATTGATGTGGGGCGATGTCATCCATTTGACATGTACAGTGACTATAAACTTGGCACACACCCCGACGCCTCGTACATTGCTTATATGGTCAATCTCTTGTTTTATTATGTGTGAAATCGGAGCATGACATTTAGTAGAGCCTTGAAGGTGGGGCCTATCAGTGGGCGACACGGCAGAAGGACATTCTTACCCCAATACAACTTATAAAGTAGTAAGTGGAAAAGCAGAATGGCCGGCCACCTGAATATAGCTCAACGATGTGATGCGTGTGTAGGTTCTGATGATCGAGTCAAAACAGCGGGTTTGCGGCGGAGTACGAACCATAGGATTGACTAGGTTGACATAAACAACCGCGGTTTGCGGCGGAGTACGAACCCTAGGATTGACTAGGTTGACATAAACAACCGCGGTTTGCGGCGGAGTACGAACCCTAGGATTGACTAGGTTGACATAAACAACCGCGGTTTGGTGGTGTTGTTTCCAGTCGCCAGCAGCATTGTTTACAGAACAAGGAGTATTACATCTAATAACCACGTATTGCCAACCTGACATTGATGGTTCTCTGATGAACTGCATAGTATTATAAACCAGGATCTGTTGTTCCTCTTCTGTGACGTTGTAAGATATTGACACTTCAGTTCTTTTGAAAAAAGCGATTAATTTGAAAACAAACATGTTCTTATAACTTTTTACGGGAACCAAATATTGAACATTGGATTCATTTCGACGAGGTTGAATAATATATAAGATTGTTAGTTCTAAAGGGAACTCTTCTAATCAGCGATCCTGTTGGTTGGGTATCCAAACGCGGTTCGTGAACCCTCGTAACAGGTCTGTATGCCAGTCAAAAGTTGACATTTGATAAAAACTGCCAAAGAATGTAAAGCCAAAGAAAGTGTAATTCTCCTAGTTCTGTTGAAAGAAGGCGAGATCAGGGATCTGATGGCTATGGGAAAAAATAGTTTCGGCTGAAATTTCTTCTGGAAAAAGGACATGAATGAGATCCTAGGAGCGACAATTACTCCCATTGAACAAAGAATGTCTGACAGTGTGGAGAGATTGACGCAACATCTGCTGGCCCTGGAACCCCGCCCGGCTGTACGCGGAGGTGTGCAGGTCTTCAATACCGTTATGTTCATAAACCACCGGTCGTCATCGGGGTTTCACTCATTTCACATAGCTTTACAACAATCTAAACATGGGCTATTTGCAAATAAATATATTTATTATATTATATCATGCGATATTTATATTATCGCATGATATAATAAATATCAGAGAACGATTTAGGCTTCAATTTTTGTCCAGCCTGACTGAATAAGAGAGCAAGATGTTCTCTGCTAGACACAACGTGCTAGTGGTTCGAGAAAGGTAAAAAGTCTAAACGTATCACGGAGACGATAAGGATTCTTTCAGGAAGTATAATGTACAATTGTCTGAGATAACATCTTCAGATCATTAGTGGGGCGGTGGGGTAGCCTAGTGGTTATAGCGTCCGCAGGTCACGCTGAAGACCCTGGTTCGATTATCCACATGGGTGCAATGTGCGAAGCCGATTTCCGGTGTTCCCCGCCGCTATATTGCTGGAATATTGCTAAAAGCGGCGTAAAACCATACCCACTCACTCAGATCATTACTTTGGATAAGGTAAACTCATGTAGAGTACGAACCAAAGATGCAAATCTGGTTTGTGCCAAAGAGAGTGGGGTGAGCTGGGTTTAGGGCCAGGCCCAAGGCTCTTGTTTGATACTGACTATTGATTTTTGTTGTGAAACCTATCCTTATCATTATTACTCCAATATTTTGTCAATTCAAAATGGCTCGGGTGTTAATCAATGATTTTCCAGTGTGGCAAGAACGAGACCCTAATTCAGGAACGCGTTTTGAGTAGCAGAGGGAAGGTTTTCACAATCTTGTAACGGGTACTTGTCAGTCTTTGTGGGTCGTTCAATAGCTACCTGGGAAGAATTTACGAGGAAGCGCGTCTCATGTGGAAGACGTTGCTTGATGGTAATGACACCTCTCGCCATTCGTGACAAATCCTTTGTCCCTTATCTTTGTTCAAGGAAACAGTGACCGGCAGGAAATGTTTGTCCAGCCGGACACCACCATTCAAGCCTCCTTGACGGGGTATCCAACGCTCCCGGCCCTCAAAAGACCTGTTTGTCAATCTATGGGCACTCATCGCTTCAGCTTCATTCTGATACTCCCTACCCTTTCCTGTTCACGTGTATCGAGTTCATTTTAGAGAGGTTTGATTAGAGATTAACTTGTGGTTATAAGATTTTCAAACTTTTATCAAGGGCACGAGTCTCTCTTAAACATTTCGACGATTCAAAGACCATCCTAGTTACGTGTTATGGCAGCAAATCCACCTCCTCTTGTCTGTCTGGGATGAACATTTCTGACATTTTATCGTTAGCCTGCCAGAAAGTGGAGAAGGTGTATATTCACAAAAACGATCAAGCGACGGGGTGCGTCCTAAGTTTAGTCGCAGAAGCGTTAAAACTTAAAAGAAAAAGCATTCAGTCAAAAACCAAACGCAAAAAAGATTGATGTATGAGTTTCTACTTCATCCAACGGATACTTGAGCTTTAAAAATAAATCTGGAATGAAAACCTACCCGTCTTTTTCGGCTTTGATGTTGTTGTCGGCTTGGGTATTTCTGAAACAGAGAAGAACAAACTGTTGTTGTTTGGGAGGTGATGTTTGAGGCAGGTCGTTCACCACATACGTGATGTACTATGTAGGGCTATACTGAGCTGTACAGGAATCAGAAGTGGTTTTACAACAGTCATCTGGAGAAGATGCTTTGATTTAATCTTAACCCTATACAGAAGAAAAAAGACATTTTGTCCTTGGCTTCCGTGGTCCTGTTAAACAATGCAAAATGTTAACAAGTCATGTGATTAATAAATCAATTGTTACTCAGTTCAGATGTATACGCCGACGTTGCTGTCAACTATGTAGCTGTTGTAGGTGTATCCCAACGTGTTACAAGAATACACCATAGACGCCAACGCAAAAATACACTATTTAAATAAACAAATGAAGAACTAAATGAAAATAGAAAAATCAAATGAACAATTATATTTTCAAACAAATAGATTAATAATAGAAGGAAAAAACTAAAGTGAGATTATAACGTTTCCAGAAATCCATACAAGTTATGTCACAGAACATTCAAAATACCTATTAAGGGTTCGTTGCCTGTAAAGCTGGCTCCACTCCTGAATGACAACACATGATGTTTACGGGAACCATTAATGTTCCTAACATCTTCGTCCTATTTACAACCCTATCACACCCTCTTGAGCATATTATGTCTCAGTTAACTGGATCTCAGGCCAAACACAGATGAAAAGTGGGATTGTATCTCCTCATTCCACAAACGGAATGGGCATCAAGAGACCACATTGTCATTTCATCTTATTTGATGGCAATGTTTACGGACCCCACGAATCTCTACTTCAAAACGCTGGGTTGAGGAATATGACAGTAAAGCAATGATATCAGTAGTAACAGAGTGGATGAAAGATGGATTTAATTCAATCGGTAGCGCCTATGAAAGAACCCCACAGACCATCAACAGCGCATCCTTAGGTCCAGGATACGATGGGGCAAGACACAGAGGCAAGAGATTACGATGTGTCAATGACAGCATAATAAAACTATGCACTTCAATGACGTTAAACCAGTTATTACATCCTAGGTTATGACGTTTTATGACGGATGAGCCGGTTAAAGTAAGGTTATGAGGTCTTATGAGTATTCCTTCTAGAGTGTGTTATTATTCTCTTCGAAAACCTCCAAGGTATATGGTAACTAAGGAACGTATAGATGGGACCAAGTGTTTCCAATATCTAACACTCACATCAACGTCCTACACCATTGCCACCCTCCCGCTTCACTTAACGCTTTTCAATTTCCTACAGGTACACAATAATGAAGGCATAACCAAACAGTCCCACTGGTAGAGCGTCGGCCAATGTTTGAACAGTGCTCCGTTAGATTTCGTCTCTTTTCTGCCCTAGGGGCATGCATTGTCCCGGACAATCCTCGTGTGTTGGCTTAAATCCCAAAGATTTGTTATTGCTAGAAATATGTATCAATACAATTGTCACCTCATGAAATAGCAGTGTGTAAGAAAATACTCCTCCATTTTCCTAACGTGTTCGCGACTTTACTTTCAATTAATTCTTTCCTAGCATGGCATTTATGCGGCCTTCTGTCATTGTTCGCTAAACTCGCAAGCGGTGGGGCTGACAGGTGTCTTGTATGTAATTAGTGGGCATAATTTTACATTGAAGTCAAATTGACATTTTATTGTTGACATTTATTGTATATGATTAGATCTATGTTACATGCAACAGTTTTGTCCTAACCAGTAGAGATCAGTATTTTGTTTGAAGCCAAGGTTCTGTTTTCACATGCACTTTGTCATATCCGTTAGTGATGGCACATGATACTTTAACCTCCCTCTTAGAGACAGTTAAACATGCACAGAGGTAAGAAATCAGTCTTTTTTGTTTTGTAACATGCAATCTAAAATTATTGAAAAGAATGTCCGTACGTTCTCAAACCATGCACAGAAATATAGTTATAGTTAGCTGTGAAAGGGCATGAACACACACTTTAGAAACCGTAGAGAACCAATCCATTATTGTTGGGTCATCCTCGCGTATCAGGGGCATCTGCCCTGTTTTCATGTCCGATTACAGCAAGAAACGTCCACTGGGCGACAGCAATCAGAGTGGAAAGGTATTGAGTACAAAGGAAGAGACTTCGAAAAATATATTTAGTGACTTACTGAAACCGCATTGATAGCTTACAAAGTGAGGAAAAGAGTGGCATATACGAAATAGTTGCCCCAAATCACGCATAGTTTGCCTTTGATTTCACATTAAATGCATAACACAAAGAAAATGTAAAATGTTCAATAAATATTGCATTGCCATTTTTAAGAACGTTTGTCTCATTTGTTCTAATATGTTTGCATTGCCAACACATATATCGTAAGGCCAAGGCAGACAAGGGGGATAATTCAAGATGCTCTACGCTTGTTCTATGAACCATTTTGTCAGGGACGTGTATGTATCGCTGTACAAAATCAAACTTTCAGAACTATGGAGAAAGAATATGCCTTTCGAAATGCGCAAAGCCAAACCACTGATTAACTGTAAGTGTTGAGACAGACATGATGGGCTAATGATACTGGTGGAATTTAAGCCGTTATCAGCTTTGCAAATATTTAGACTGATTCAGACGCTTTGGGTGAATATTATCTCCACTGTTGACATCTTCCATCACAGATCATAGAACTATTTCTGTCAATCTCTTAAGGGAAAATATAGGTATTCCATCATTTTGCCTTTGTTAAAATACCATGCATTTAGAAGAGAATGAAGCCAAATAGAATTGCCGACATATCGGAGAGGGAGAACATGAACACCTTCGGTAATACCCCTCGGGGAGGTTGGGGGGGTTCTCATGCATGCCGTTTAAGTTGGTTAATTTGCATAACAAAGTCATTGACCTAAAACACTAATGATGTATTTCTAATTCTTCCTCAGATCATGCCTTGATATACATGCGGCATTACTTTCTTTGTCTTTCGAGCCTCGACTGCGAAAGAAAACGTCTTCTCTAATTGTAGAATTGGGCACTCTCTTCATTCCTGAAACAAACATCCATGGTCAACACAATCTACTTGGATTATCTCCTCCTAGTCCCAAACGTTGCAATAATATGACTTGTTGACTCCAAATATCAGTTGCATTGCGAAGTTCCAACCAAATTCTCTGTTACTGTTCAGGGATTCTATACTACTCTGTTAATTATGAAACGCCATCACTTCAGTCAATAGCGTCCCAGGGTCTTCAGTCTGATTAATGCACTCTTTCACGGGTTCTTTCAGTTGGAGAAGATCTGATACGGAGTTTGGATAACAAATTCAATAGCAATCCCAAACCTAACTATCCCAGACACGAACTGATTACTTGAACTCCTGTTTGAACGTCAAGGGCCAGTGACGTTATAAGAACAATCAAATCTCTATTCGCTCTCAATCTCCGGTGTTGAACCAGATCACTATCCGACATATCTATGTGATATTGTTTCTTGTGGATGAAGACAGTCAATAATGAATAGTTACCCTCTGTAATTGTTATATGAACAATGTATTCATGGGTAGGTACATCTAGTGGCAATCTAGCTCGTCCGATCTATAGTCCAATGATAATGGGGGGGGGGGTGACTGGAACATTCGTCTTACATGGTGGAGATACTGAAGGAGGACTCTACAAAACACACACCGGGGAGACTGAACTACGCAGGGAACAACATACCAGTTAATGATTGAACTACACGGTAAAATAAGTTGTTGACAGTTGCAGCAGGACGTTTTCTAATGTGACAGTAAACACTGGTTACATGAACAGACTCGGCACCACCACCGGCCGTTCCTCAAAGCGATCTTAGATCTAACTCCTATACTAGCAGGGGCTTACGATAGTCGTGCATCCAGAATCGCTTTGTGGAACGGGGCTCTGGTCTTTACAACGGTTTGAACTCTAGGTTGGATTATATATTATTAGGTAGAAGTCGTTGAATCAGTCCAATTTGGGGGCTTACAGATATTAACTATGAGTAATTAAGAGTTATTCCTGGAAATGCAACACGAATTATAATCTACATACAGTGGCTCTCTAAAGGACGCTCACATAGGTTGTAGCGTGGTTTAAACAGCATTAATCTGCCTGCATAACGTATTGGACAAATAACTACAAAGGGGTCTACGTTTGATGGTCAACTACTCCAGGACGACTTCCACGTGGTCCTGTAAGGCTAGGTCCTTGTACATAGCACGTGGTACTTGTAATAGTGAGTGAGTTGGGTTTAACGACGCTTCAACCAATAGTCATTACAAACGAAACAGTACTTCTAACAAATGAAATTATAATCATACAACAGAATCATATCACAGCGTGTTAGCGTCACGTTGGTTAAATGAAGGCAGTAGACGTTCACCACTCAAGGGAATCCCATATGTATTAAGCGGAACAACCAGGATCATAATTTAGGCAAATCTTGGATTCGAACCCGCGACATGCAGCTCCCATCACAGCAAAGGACAGGGCTGTCTTGTGTCCTCTGGCACTTGTGTGGAGGCAAACAACGAGTCTTCGAAATCATAAATGAAACCTATATGGGAAGGAACTCCTATTACGAGTAATCTATCATGACAAGATGGGTACGGGAAGCCCCTCAACGTGGCAGCACTGAATATATTGACACATGAAAATAGCAATATTCCTCATGTTTCCCGGTTACAAGAGACTACCCCCCACGCATTGTAATGCAACATGACCTCTGGCTCCAGGCCCCTACGCTGCACTGCCGAAGTCAACCTGTGATAACTCCGGGAGAGGGCCCAGCACGTACATGGTTGTCCGTTTCAATGGAGTGTTGCAAACGACGGTCTATCAAGTTTCAATACGGTGGAGCCACAACATGTTCACGTGCACGATCGATATGTCATTATCAAATATTTACAGAGAACTGGGAGATGAAACCATAAACATATATACATCTATGTTGAAAATTCGTTTCTCAACACGAAAATACACTATTCCCAACACAGTAAAAAAAAAAGGAAAAAAAAAAGCTTTTTGAAAGAACACCACCCACCCACCCCAAACATGACGACTAGTACAAGAATAATATGTGTACTTGTTCTAAATTTATAACTATTTAGAGATATTTGTATGTGTATATTGTGTGTTCTGTTGACTAAGAAACCTGCAGAAACAGAAAATTCTACTTACTGATGCAAGGAGCGATATGAGACTTGCTCTGCTGGTACCCCTTCGCGCACCTGTTGCAGGTAAGCCCAATGACGCCATCTTTGCAGGGGCATTGACCTGTGGTCTGGTTACACGTCTTCCCCAGGGCGCCCACAGGGTGACAGTCGCATGCTGAAAGTAAAAAACAATGTTTCTCATTCGACACAGAAATATATGATCAAAACTGATAAATCAGTTAACTGAGCATAATTATGCATGTGGATATCCTGAAGGCTTCTCTATGTTCTAAACACCTTAATTAACTGTTATTTCTCAAGTATTTATCGTCAGTGCAAAAGAATACCTAATCTTGTCTATCCTCAGAAACAGACGGCATTTGTTGAAAAGGACGAAACAGCTGTGAAAATTATATGAATGAAGCACTGATAATCAACAGTGACACCCGGTGTTCGTGAAAAGGGTAAGCATGTCCTGTCTAAAAGTATGATATATCATATGGATCACGGTTTACAGAAGTTTGATGTTTTACATTCGTAGCAGTTCTTGTTTACTAAAGGTTATCCAGTTAGGACAGGTAGACGGTGTGTGATAAAGATTACATCTGGCAACATGCATGTTCTTCTCTTAATGTACAACAAACGTTGCCGCAGAGCAGAGATAGATGTATCCAAAATAGTTGTTCAATGGGCAATGTTTATTTACAGACTCAGCGGCACATACACGACTCATATTCAGATCCATCGCAAGTGGCATCCACCTGTACAATCAGCGTTCACCCTTATTCCAGCAACACCTGTTGCATCCTGGCGGGTCCGAGACTCTCATAACTCGCAGACTCCAACGGTCCCGGTGCCAACCATTTTGTTTCGGTATAAGATATGGTGCTGTCTGTCAACACTCTAGCCTGACGCAGATAAGCAGAGGCTATTCTAAGGAACCCCCTGTCCGCCATTTGTGTTTATTGGTTTGGAGTATAGCTTTATCGCCTGGTATACAAGAACACTCTGCAACTAATGAGGAGACGAATAAATGAGGACAGATCTGCCAATTAATGTCCTCATCGTTGCGGCTGCACGTGTAATATTCCTCACTGTTGGGTACTATAGTAGCTGGCCTGACTAATGCTATATATCCCAGGACATCTCGATGACGTCACTGGTTCGCCTTCACCTGAAGGACATTACCTAATCCCCCTGAGTATATGAAGGAATTTATATAGACAATGCACTTGCTCATACTGTTGAAGAATCCAAATGCATCGTGAAAGTATCATTATTGAAACAAATATAACAAATTTTTTTTTAAATTAGCAAAAATTAAGAGATAAGAATATTAATATCATTCATATATGACTAAAACTGAAATGGTTACCAGAATGAAAGTATCTTTCGTCTATTTCAATAAGGAGAGGTTTAACAAATGGAGATACAAGATGGTATTTTTAATGACTTTTTAAACGACTTTTTGTGTGTTTCTCAGAATCGATAATGATGTCAGTAATCACTACTTGTAGCGGGGATTTAAACAGTTTCCTTCGGCATCATTACACAGTTTCTCGTGTAGTGTATTTAAATGCTTCTGTTGCCAGTTCACTTTAGGCGTCCAGGGAGCAAGGGCGATACAACATCATTCTACAATATTACGTGTTGAGGAAACGCTTAGGGGTTACCCTCAGTCCCTATCTCACTCATTGACGTACTTCTCACCCTGGAAACACCCTCTCAATGCGGGGAATATAAACTTTATCGTTTTACTTGAAAAACGTTTGATAGTTTTGATTGCTTAGGAAATTGTTCATGTTGGTGTGTAGCTATGTGCTGGGTTGTTCTGGTTCCACGCGAACCACTTCATGTCGGCTATTACGACACTGTGCAGGGAGGTGCTGAATTGCTCATGTTCATTAGAAGCTTTTCAAACTTGGAACTGAGCCATTTGGTCCTTGAACTGTACGTACACTCTTTACTCTGTGGAATTGAGATGTTGCAGATTGCTTCTTTAAGTGGCGGACACACTGCGAAATGATGTAACCTCAGTAATGAAATAGTGGGATGCTTCTTCGGTCCGGTGTGGTCTGGACAGCGGATCTCTTGATGGATGGATTCCGTGATTGCACGTCCATGTCGTAGATCAGGGTCATGACCCCCGACGAAGCTGGGTCGGGATTGGTCACTTAGGTTGATCGATGTCAAAACGAGGCTGAGTATAGTCTGCCATTTTGAGAGGTCCCTGTCCTGCGTCTGAAGATTTAGTTGGTTGATTTCACAGTTATCGTTTCGGGGAATGCTGTTCAATTTACGGATGTGTGACATTGAGGTCGAAAGACGATCATTTGAAGAGAATGCTTGAAGTAATAAAACGTCGCTACTTGTCCCAAATTGCTTCCTATCCGTCAAGCCATTTGCTCCCTTTGTCGCTGTTATTGTTAACAGAATCTCTGGAGGAGCACCACCTGAGGGGTATCAGCGTCAATGAAATGGACTATTTGCTCCTTACCAAAAACCGCTGCCAAATTCTGTTGTGGGTGACCCTTCTTTTCAAGTACAGTCAGTGGGTTATGGGACAACTATTAAAGTCCCGTGTACTTGGCATCTTTTCAGTGTCGTGTTTTACAGTAACGTATCTTGTTTATAAGTGATGTATGTATGTCGCAAGTGCGAGACGAGCATACTATAAAATCTCTTACTTCATTGGCAGGTGATAAGCGTTAAACGTCCAGTCAAGAATAGGTTTGAACTTAACGATTTGTCATACTGTAAAAGCATGTGTCATGTGTCTAAAATATACTGTTCCTGTCTTCATTCCACGATATTGGATCTGGAACAAGAGTTCTACCGTGGTGTCAAAATATTTGTAGAACCCTGGTTTTTTTAAATTCTACACTGAATCCAATTACCCTGAACTGTAATATAGCCAAATCAAATATTTAAAGAATGTTGATGTATTGTTCAAAAAATAAACTGACTCACTGTCGGAAAACGGTAGAAAAAATAATTGAAATATATTAAAAACATGTTTGCTGAACTTCGTGTATGAGAGCATGGGTGCACGGGTGTATGAGTGTATGGGTTTACGGATGAATGTGTGTACGGTCGTATGGGTGTACGGATGTATGTCTGTACGGGCATATGGGTGTATGGGGGTACGGATGTATGTATGTAGGAGCGTATGGGTGTACAGGGGTACGGATGTATGTGTGTACGAGCGTATGGGTGTACGGGGGTACAGATGTATGTGTGTACGAGCGTATGGGTGTACAGGGGTACGGATGTATGTGTGTACGAGCGTATGGGTGTACGGGCGTATGGGGTACGGATGTATGTGTGTAGGAGCGTATGGGTGTACGTACGGATGTATGCGTTTACGAGCGTATGGGTACGGATGTATGTGTGTAACGGGATGGATGTGTGCGTACGAGCGTATGGGTGTACGGGGGTACGGATGTATGTGTGTAGGAGCGTATGGGTGTACGGGGGGTACGGATGTATGTGTACGAGCGTATGGGTGTACGGATGTATGTGTGTAGGAGCGTATGGGTGTACGGGATACGGATGTATGTGTGTAGGAGCGTATGGGTGTACGGGGGTACGGATCTATGTGTGTACGAGCGTATGGGTGTACGGGGGTACGGATGTATGTGTGTACGAGCGTATGGGTGTACAGGGGTACGGATATATGTGTGTAGGAGCGTATGGGTGTACGGGATACGGATGTATGTGTGTAGGAGCGTATGGGTGTACGGGGGTACGAATCTATGTAAGAGCGTATGGGTGTACGGGGGTACGGATGTATGTGTGTACGAGCGTATGGGTGTACGGGGTACGGATGTATGGGTGTACGGGGGTACGGGCGTACGAGCGTATGGGGTACGGGGGTACGGATGTAGAAGAACATGGTTAATTGTATGCACGTCTGTATGGGAGTATGATTGTACGTATGTGTGTGTGTGTGAGTATAGGTATGTGAGTTTGGGTTTGTACTGTTTTCAAAGGCATGTAAGCTACAACAACCAGACGAGTAATAAAGCAAAAGCTTCACCTCTTAGAACCCAACACCATTGGTATGAAACCCAAGGTCAAGGTGACTCTAGGACTCGAACCCACTACTAGGACGGCCCAGTCAGTTAATGAACGATCAGATTCCTTAGACCAGTATCCTAACCTGAGTGGGGTCTTTATTACAATAGTCGAGACAGATAGTGGTAGTCATTTTCCAAGACAACACAAATCTACTAAATGTCCGCTTCACCTGGACATGAATGAGTAAGGAAAGGCAAGACCTCAAAGTCTAGGTTATGTTCCATAACAGTTTCTATTAAGTCTCGAAGGCAGAAAAGTAGTGAAAATGTTAATGGTGACAGAAATTAAATGAAATGGTGACACCAGGTGTTCTTGAAAAGTGTCATCATATCCTGCTCTACTGGTAGCACCACCACTCGAACACTGAACACTCCCGAGAACCATTCCAGTAACATGATCTAATCTATAAATGTTAATGTCTAGATCAGCTGCAATAAGCCACAACTCCATAACAAAGCCTGCACAACGTTGATTTTCACACTGAATGCCTACCTGAAATTTGAACCTAGGATTTCCATCATATTACTGTGATCATGAATAAATGATGTAATATGTGTTCGTCTGACAGGCAGTAATCCCCAGGGAGTAGCACCTTGGGCGCCATTTACAAACACTTTGCACCTTACTACAAACTAAACCACAAGATCACAGACCCCAAAATTGCTGGGGTCAAGTACGGAGCGGCGGTGGCTTTGAGAGACGTATCATCTGATACGTTGGATAGAAGTACTGTAGAGCTGGAGGCTATGACTACCTGGAAAGTACGAGAACCGACAGAAACAGAGTAGTCTGCAGGGACCTAGTGTCTCCCGGCGATGTCTCAACAATCTGATGTGATACATCACAAACTGCACATGTCTTGCAAGCATCCAAGCTGCAACTGCACATGTGCATGCCTCGACACCTGGGACAAATACTCTCTAGATAGGGAGCGTCCTTAGCGGACCTCTGTATCAACGTAAACGTTTTCATTTTGTCAGTGGCACAATGCGGAAAACAAGTAAATGATAGGTAAGAGATGCAGATGAGAGGAAGGCCCTCAGCTTCAGTTAGAGTACCTATATTCCAGCACGGTGTACTGCAAGGAGATGAAACACCTTCCTTCTTATTTATGGCTTCTTACATGGAGGTTGCGAACCTAAATACATTGCACGCATGAGACGTGAATACCTTAATAAAAAGGAATAGCTAAAATCGTCACAGTTTTACGTATTCCCAATTTCGTACAACTTAAATCCGCTATACGTCTCACATTAATTGGTTTTAGACACGTTTGATCTAGATAGCACAATGCTTCGGTTGTATATTGCCCCTGATCACATGATAAGTCTTGTTTATATTCGAATTAACCGAGGGGAATAACTTACAGGATGAGGCTTCCACATAATTGAAAGGCGATCAACGGCGTGGATAAACTGAGGGTAAGTGATACGGGTGACAATCCTTTCTCACGTGTGGTAGAAGGCAGAGTGACCTGAGCCCACTAAATTCCCTTGGTCGGGAGAATTACGCTGGTCACCTAATACGTCCAGTCTTATTGTTTCTTCTGAAGTGTCGTTTAAGAATATGTGTGGCGTATCTGTACTACAGCAGTAAACTGAAACAAGCCACACAGCTGTTGGGTAAAACTGTCATGGATGGCATGAATGCCGGTCTCAAAACTATTTTGATCATTTTTGAGCTCTTGTCTTTCTTATTCATTCATGTTCAGGTGAAGCGGGGATTTTGTAGAACTGTGTTGTCTTGAAAATGGCTTCTACTATGTGAATTGGCCTTTTTTTCATTATGTGTGAAAATATTATTGTATTTCATATTTGATATTGCCCCTCGAAGTTGTAAGCACTTGATTGGGAGATAGGTTCGCCATGACAGCGGCAAAGCGCCCCTTGTGTTATAGGTCAGGTAACACGGGGAATTAAAGTCACATGATCCGTGTGACCTCGTTCTGGAATCCATTGTTTTCCGTGGGTAGTCTACTAGATACTCAAAACACATGACATCACATCAGATAACAATGTACACTTAGGGCACAATGCTATTATTAATGTAACGTTTAATTACACCCCACAAACAAACCAGTTTTTGTCGTTTTCCATTTCAAATACATGAAACGTAAAACTTACATCTATTCATATTCCAGGATTTAAATGAAAAAGAAACCAGACATTTTGTGCGGGACAAATTGGAAAAATCCCGTATGGAAATGCTATTTACGAAGCAGGCATACACATAAACGTGTGCCTTACTTCAGTGCTTGTCAGACATTCAACGTCTTTCTCTGTCAACCCAAATACCATTTTCAGAATGAAAATGGTTCAACATAGTACAAACTCTGAACCCATTCGTTGATAATTCAGATCAATTACTCGGAATCCTGAAATATTTTTCTCCTTCATAAATGCTTATGCATGTATACACTGCGACCAAACACAGCCTCGTCGGGTTAGACGGTTCATTCAGTGGCTTTAATCCACGAAGGTTTGGTTACCCTCGTTCTGTCACCCGTGACAAGCCTTGATCCTTGCCTCTGTTCGGTTACACCGCCTTATCACCGCTCGCTAGCCTGAGCATGTAAAACCGCTCCGTCTTATTTATCCGATCTTGCATGTTTAATAACATCTTCCTTGAAAGAGATCTTTCCATGAGATACACGCTCTACCCATCACTATGCGGGAGACACCTTTCAAAGATTCCCAGTTTTATATTCCTCTGTGCTTGGGGTTGTCCTGCACACCTTTTACCGTTAATCCTTGATTTTTATGCTCTCAGTATTAAATTTCAGGTTCCCAATGTGCACGTGTATCGCATGCTTTTCGATAGCGGGTCATGTGTTCTTGATAACCCTTGATGTGCAAGAAAATAAGTGCCGTTTTCAGACACTGTTGATGTTTGTTCATGTCATGATACGTTCCACTGTACAGGTACTTAACATCCTTTTGTTAAAATGTGCTCTTATGTACAAGCGCTTCCATTCATGTGCAGCGAAGTTTCATAGTGTATTTTCACTCATGTAAAGACATCTCCAATAGTGTACGTTGCAATTTCAAGCCATGAAAGGCAACAATAATCGACCGTATCCTAAATGACATATATAATTCGAAACATCAGCTTTTCGACATTTACATTAACATAACATAAAGTTTTATAGCTTAAGAATTGGAACACATTTCTAATATTAAGGTGTTCTACCATATCATCGTATGAGATTCAGCGTTCCATTTATACTTAATGTATACATATGAACACATTGAAATATCTCAACTATACTGATACACAAACGTAGAGAGTTTTTGTGCTTAACAAAACATTATACTAAGATAAACAGCCACGAGAAAAATATTTTGTAAAGATGGTTCCCAAAATAAGTATGTGCAAATGACTACAGCTACGTCTACTTGCTTGCCTCTATCTAAAGCCCACATATCTTTAACAATGAGAACACATTCCTGAGATTTATATTTGCATTACCGACATTAAGAAAGCTGAAACCCGATTTATATCCATGTAAGCATATATCTATATACCATAGTGCAGTATCTATGTATATATACCTCCGTTCGTGATGTATGTGACCGTCATTATGGGTGAGGGATTATGGGATATCTGTGAGTGCTCCTGAAACTATTTTATGGAGTCATGGCTATGTTATGTGATATACTCGTAAAGTACGACTGCATTGTGCATGAACTACACACTAAAGCATTGTGTCGTGCCCCTTGGTGCATGTGTGTAGATGTAGAGGTAAGATTCTAGCGGTGACACCGTCAGTGTCATCCTTGGATTGCACGATGTGGTTGACACAGCGTGTACATTTGCCTCGTGGAGATCCATACGGCTATGTTACTGCTGGTGTCACGTATCTAGTTATAAGACAGTTGTTCTATTCAAATAAAACGAAAATGGTATAAAACCACTCCACCTCCATGCACATCTCTTGTTTCTACAACTGGTGAGTTTAAAGTGCTACGATACACTACTTGTACAGCGATAAACATGCCACTGACACAATGAAATAAAAAGTGCTAACTAGAAATACGTGCATGGTTACATTTCTTCACGACCTTGACCTTCTGTGGCCAAAATGTCATATAATATTTCAACTACCTAATCTACGTCAACTACGGTAACAACGTGCACTCCTTGGCCCATGCACCCACCCATGTCGTAGACTGGCCAGCCCTACCTTTGCAGGCCCTACGGTCTGTGATGTGTCGGGAACTATCCCTGTAGTAGCCTTGTTTACAATAGTGACAGTGTCGTCCGGCAGTGTGGTGCTTACAGCCCAGGCATACCCCACCACTCAAAAGCCCAGACAGCATATACAGCTCTCTATTGAAGCGACATCGTCGTGCATGCAAATTACAATTGCAGGCTGGAAAACAAAATAAACCAAAAATAAACTCAACTGAAAACTGAAGGGAAAAGGAAGCACCTCCTACCTTTACAAGCCTTCCTATGGGTCATCGGTTTGGTTCTATCGCGATAGTAACCCTCTTTGCAGTAATTGCAATTTCGACCAGCAGTGTTGTGTCTGCAGCGAAGACAGACTCCCCCACTTTTGTAGCCAGATAATTGGTATAATTCCATATTGAAGCGACATTGTCTAGCGTGGAGGTTACAATTACAGGCTGAAATAGACGGAAAGAGATGTAGAGTGGGATGAAGAAATATGATGTGACATCTACAGAGATGGGATCTGTGTTCTCAAATGCTTCTGACTCTAAGTCCGGACGCGAGCCTTAAACCAATAGCTTGTCAAAACATCGCTTTAGATATTATTACCCACCCTCGGAACATCACGTTATTACGTTGTAAATGAAATATGTATGGCGAACATGTTAACTGTTTATGCCAGACGCAGGTTGCAACTCTTACAGATTATACGGACCTGCACTTTCATCTTCAAGGATATCCGAATTTCTGAAGTACATATTTCTAAGGATGCCCTATCTAAACGTCCTGTTAACATATGGGATGTTTTTATACTTTTAGCATGCTGCTACAGACGAGGTCAATGTCATTTGGGGTAGGATGCTATTTTGAGAATAGTGCAAAGAAACAAGACGTTTTTGAATTACTTTCGAAATGAATGTAGATGTGCTGTATTATGAAGGCTCTTAATCGAAATGATAGCAACAGCCTTTTACTTGGATACATAGAATCGTGATCTGGGTGAGGATGAATATCAAGTTAATGTTCTTCGAAGGAAAAGGGTTAAACTTAATGTAGTGACATCAAAAGGTATACTGCAAGAAAATAGTTCCACCCCGCTGGGTATACACGGTCTTGTGATTACGCAAATGGCTCCATCGCGCTTACACAACAATCCATTTTGTGAATGAAAAACGGACATTTGAGAACACAGATATACTATCATTTGTGACATACGCTACTACGTGAGTGATAGATGTTCACTGACGTGACACAGTGCACAGACAAAGATGAAAAACCTCTTTGACACTGTATCACAAGGTATCATTTTGCTTGTTCAGCACCATATACAGCAATGTTACAGCTATAACAGGTACGTACATACAGGAGTCGGGAACAGACAAACCCGTGACTGATGGCATGAGCATCGTCCGCAATAAGCCAGGTTAGTGCCCCGGATCGACCGACCCATTTAGCCGCCTTGTGGGATAATATGACTGCTGCAACACCGGAACCCACAGAGGGATATCAAGCAACATAAACCTAGGTCACACACACACACACACACACACACACACACACACACACACACACACAAGAGACAGACAGACACACACACATACATATATATATATAAATATATATAATATTATTCATTATCAGTTACATGTCAAAATGTTTTATTATAGTATAAAGTATTCCTGAAAGATATATGTGAATTGTCACTACAGTTAAGGCTAGTTGTGCTCGAGTATCTCGGCTGTAGGCTATGTTCTATTCCTGTGCAAATGGTGTCTACAATTCAAAAAAGTTGAGGACCACCCATTTCTTTCAGATTTTGTCATGGCATACATAGGTTGATTTTAGCAATATGATATAATCAATCATATACGGGTGGTCCCTAACTTAATTTGAGTAGCACAGGGATAGTTTATTGAAAGCTGAAAAAGCAAATGAACAAGAAGGATGAAAGAGAAAATGAGCAAGATGGAAGGAACAGAAAGTGAGAACTATACAAGACATGAAAAACATACACATATACACAATCATATCAATACATGACAAATAGTGCCTAGACTTGAAACAAGGGAGGCAAGTAGTGTTAGAACTGATGGCATCACAGAGTTGGAACATTCACAGAGATACGTCGCTGACTCTTTGTGTCTTCCAACTGTACCGACTGAACTTTGAAAGCAATCCTCAAAAGAGATGGTTTATAAGATTATGTAATATTTATTTCTTTTTATGTTGTTAATATTAAAAACGGAGATTGAAGATAAATACACGTGGAGCTTATAGAACATGTAAACAGTGATAGTTTGTGGTTATTTTACAAAACACTACATTAATAAACAAAAGGACCATTCAGTACAGAAACGCAATCCATCATGAAGTAAAGAAATTATTTTAAAAATTACGTTTTGAAAGTGGATTACGCATATCAGCAATGATAATTAAAACTGTGAATGCTTAGCAATTCATTCCACGCATACTTTCTCAACAGTATGTACGATCTATAATTTGATTGTGTTATTTACGTGTTGGCAAAGGTTTAGATAGAAAATAATGAGGCTAACCAGGTAAATACATGTTTTTGTCAGGTACTATTTACATCGATTAAGGTTGAACAATCATGTATATATATCAGATGATTAGCAATTTTACCCACAAGCTTTTATTCATCTTGTCTATTCATAGCGCTCATTATGCCATCACTTAACATTTGATTCACAACTAGTTGAATATTTGTCACTGAATTGAAAAAACTGAACATTTCACAATACAAGGAATTACATATTACAATCGACTCTGTGGCTTTTAGGCATGTCTAAATCTGACGCATCAGCGACGAGAAGGTTGACTGATAAAATCCCTGTGTTGACGTGTATCATGTGCCCTGGTTTATTTAGGCCAGTAATTGACTTGCCCTTTCGTGTGTTTGTCTGCATTTAGTTTGCTAATGAATTTGGAAAGGGTGTCGTCGCTCCTATTACAGTGAATACTGAAGTGAATGTTTTCGCTGTTATTTATTAACAAATATTAATTTGGTAACCTGCATCACAACAAGCAATTATTCCATGTCGCTTCAACTAACAGATCATTCCTGAAACAGGGCTGTATCCTTCCTGCCGTTCTCAATTCACCAGACCCAGTTCCATACTGAGATATCACGCTTCTAACACACTACTGTATCCTTCCATTCACCAGACCCAGTTCCATACTAACGTATCACTATATACACCTGATCTAACGCTGTTACTTTAAATTTGATCTATGTTGAAGCTATTAATGACGCAGGTAACACTGAAACACTTGAGTTTAGTACATAGACTCGAGGCTATTAGTGGCCATGTGATGACGTCCTATGTAGTCGATGGTATCATAATGTGCCTAATAATTTACCTTCGCATACAGTGTGTTCGCTAATTTGGTCTCGCATTAACAAGCCTTTGATGAAATTTGATGAATTGAACATATCAATCAAAGCCCCCAGAAAGCAAGCACTGCGTAATCAGTAAATACGTTTATAGCAAACGTTTTATTCAAAATATGGATTTACCTTTTCTTCTTTTCTATTTAGCTCCATAAAGTATGCAACACCATAAAACTGACAGCTGGAATGAGAGGATGAAGGGTGAAAATGTTATATATTTTCCCTGAGTGAAATAACTGTTGTGTCAATATAATGGCCACCGAAGTGTATATAACAACTATACCTGCAGCAAGCATACGGCCCAACTCTCATCAATCTCTCTCGTAAACTGCCACCAAGGGACCCAATGCTTTATGAACACTGCTCAATGAAACGAGAACTGGTTTGAATCAAGGAGACAGTTAACAAATTGTTTAATTGTCATTTTGTGAGAAATGGCTCCCGATATTCGAGCGAATAATTTCCACGCAATAAGCAGCAATAATTCTGTCTGAAAACGGACAAAAACGGCTTTTGTGAACCAGAATTGCGGTAGACGAATTAACAAACGGTGTCAAATATATTCAACCGTTTATTCTCGTTCTGTGAAAAGCAGACGTTTGGAGTTTAAAATGTCAACCGGTGGAGTGTAATACTACCATTCAGTTGCCACTCCGACACATATCCAATATGAATAAGCACCTATAAAGCATTGGCGGGACCACGATTCATACAAACATATTGAATTATTTTGGAATGCTTGGCAGACGATGCCAGAATTCCTCTATCCGAGTTACGCACGTGCATTGTCACATTCCGGCGTTTATGCATTAGCATTGACCTGAGGGCCAGCTGAACACGACAGTTTAACTTTATTACAGTGTTCATAAAAAGTTACATAATGTCTACTGAACACTGTCTTATATATGGGCATGTACATCGGCGTGTTTTGAAAGGTATACCCCTTTACAGAAACATACATAAAGCTATTGTTGCCCACCAATACGACATTGAATATTGACGTACACGGCGTTTAACACCGCCTTTAACACACGGGTGTGACGGATATATATGACATATGTCTCTATCTACATTTACTTACAATTTACTTATGTATGATATTTATGAAACAGATATGTGTATCTTTGAACTTTCTTATAGCGGTATGGTGCAAAGGCTTTACATTGATCTCTTCTGATTTGATGGGAAAGAAATCGGGGCTATATTTAGACGTTTTCAATATGTTAACCAACAAAGGTCACGGTACGATTGTATGCTACAATGTTACAGACTTTCCTCTGTATTTGATAATTTAACATGTCTACACACAGGAAAATGGGCATATGGACATAAATCAAATTAGAAGTCATTACAATACTTCCAGTAACTTTGATATTTTATGGGTTGTTATGTTACTTATTCAATGCTGAGACACTGAACATCAGTTTCGGTCACCACAACCCTAGCTGAGACTTTAATAACATCACAATTCAAGTTATAAACACACTCAGAGGCAGTGTCTCGATTATCTGCCAAGATAGTTTCCAGTTGGTCTAGTAGGCAAATGCCGTTAATAATCATATGAACGGATCACTGAAATTTAGAATTAAGTAAGAGTAAGCATGACCGTTACTAAAACAATTTGACTAACACGATTTCCAAAGCTATGATAGCATCTAACATCGAGCAATGGGGAGCAGTAGCTGTGTGTCCAAGTCCGACATTTACCGTGATTGTGTGTAGTCCCACTCGCATAAATGAGCAATGAAATGAAAATATATATCTAACAGACTTTGAAATTCCACATCTCTGTCATAAGATTATTCCAGCCGTTGCCTTCACCCAGTATATTGTAATATGGACACTGTGTATCACTGCGTTGTGTGTTAGTTTCTGGGGTAGGAGGGAACCTGAACGTCTAGGTCTACAGTATATTGTAATATGTAGGGAACCTGGACGTCTAGGTCTACAGTATATTGTAATATGTAGGGAACCTGGACGTCTAGGTCTACAGTATATTGTAATATGTAGGGATCCTGAATGTCTAGGTCTACAGTATATTGT